TTTGAGATCAAGGTGGGGGAACAAGACGCCCCCTTGCGGCAGATAAACTTTGGGGGAGTTGGGGTCTCAAAACAGGGTGTGAGCTGGGCTGGGGAGTGCCTGAGTGAGCCGATGGGGGTTTCTTGAGTGGCTAAGCCCCTGCCGCAAGGAATTGTGAACCCGATCACAGTGACTGAAAGGGACTAAGATTCTGGGGAAAGTTTGTCATTGAGCCCTCTAGGTTGGAATCTATGCTGAGTATTGTCACGTCGTTACCTTGAAATTGGAAATGTAAAGGGTAAGTGGAAAGAAGTCAGCCATGGATCCTCGCAGCACACCACTTCTAGTGGGAACCTGACAAGGGCCGCAATCTGGACATGCAGAAGAGACACTGTCGGGGAGTGGAAAGACGAGAGAAGGCGCTGAAGAACCGTCCACCTCGGCGCCAAGCAGTGGAATTGTGGAGACGACAGGGAAAGAACTAAGCTCGGCAGCAAAAAGGAAAGGTGATGGAGTTTGTTTGGTGTGTGCCCTGGGGACAAACGGAAGCCACACGTATGAAAAGGAGGGCAAGCGATATGTAGCAGGGGCTACGATTGCACAAATGAAAAGAGCTGCGCGTGGAGGCAGAAAAGGACATCACAGACTATTACTAGAATTGGCTCTTCAAAGAAGCGGCGTGGAGCGAGAAAAAATCGAAGCGACTGCAACATCCTCTGCGACAAGGGAAGCCTCATCGACGAGCAGTTCGAGCAGCGCGCCCACCTCCAGCCCAAAGACAGCGAAGAGGAGCACGTCGACCATGAACAAGGCAACTCGGCAACAAGCACGCCGACAGCTGGAACAGAGACAACCTGATCCGCGAGTCGAAGGAAACAAGATGGACAGTGCAAGTAAGAAGAGGAAGACGGAGACAACTACAGAGACAAGGGAAAGTTCACCTGATATGGTTGAGGAAATCCTCCGGTGGCAAGCCCCAGGCGGACGAGGAACGGAAAAGAAGCTGAGTACAAAGATGGAGGCCAAGGAGGACACGCCCAGCAAAGAGACAACTCCGAGTGGAAACACCAAAAGGGACAAAAAGGAAGCGGTTGTAAGAAAGGAAGGAAAGCAAAGGGTACCACCCCCGGCAAGGGCAAGGGTGGACGAAAGTAAGATAGTTGCCAGGTTGGAAGCAGCTAAGAGGACAGCAAAATGCAACAGTTGAGACACCATCTGGAAGCGGAGACAGAAGGATCGAGGCGAACGCCGAGAAGCCTGCGCAGACCTACATCAGTAGGGAAAGACCAGCCTCGCCGATGAGACCTGGAGAAGAAACACCGATAGAAGGAGAATCCAGCACGGAGGAAATCCTCACGGAGGAAGAAAAGACCACCAAGAGTGTGGAGCCGCCGCAACCAGATTGGACATGGCGCCGCGAAACAAAACCAGCGGAACCGGCGCAGGGACCCCACCATGTCGAGTTGGAGCAGACTGCGTACCTGGTGCTTTGGTTCCAAAAAGGTGAGGCGTGCCGCAAAAGATGGGAAAGAAACTGGAGTGAAGACCAGGGAAGCAAGGACGAAGAAGAGCTGGCGAAAAGGCTGCACAGTTTGGACAAAAAGGTGGGAGAAGGAACGACATATGTCGAGATACAAAAGACAGTGAAGATGCTGCAAGGACAGGAAGCTGAAAATTGGCAGAGAGAAAGTGGCGACGGACATTGTACAGCGGCAGAGGATGCAGAATACAAGGCAGGATGGAAATCCTACTCGTGTAACAATTAATGACAAAAAATGCAAGTTGAAATGGAAGAAAATTCATTCCGGGACCAGATCGAACAACCCTGAGGCAATACGTTATCACTGGTTAGAGACAACGCACAACACCGAGACAACAAGGAGTTTTGAAGCTTCTGAGAAAAGGGAGAGAAGTGAATTCGGCATGCTGCTTGGAACCCACCACATAAGCTGGGGGGGGACAGGCTTACTGATACCCTAACGATCCAGCATGCAATTTGCACAACCTGAGTCCAAGGGAAAGTAGGGGTCGCCTAGTGGAGTTTCTGGGTTGGGAGAGACCCGAGGACGAGGGGAGCAGATAATTGAAAGTGCAAAGGTAGAAGGAAATTCAAGGCAAGACGATGGCATAAATTCAAACTGCAAAGAGGTAGGGAAATTCGAGGCATTGCCAGGGATGTATAAAACTGTGCAGAGGAAGACTGTGTAAAGGAAGAGGTAGTGGACCAATGGTAGGCGATTTCACGAAAGCAGTGAGAAGCGAGGGGCAAATGGAGATTCAAGTGACTGAGGGAAATGGGGAATCTTCATTTGCCAACCCCTCCTCGGCTTTGTTCTCCGACGATTTTCCCGGAAAAGGTCGAAGCGCGTTGGATAGGGAACAGGGGAATATTTTAGGGATTGCCGGGTAATGATCCAACGAACGCGGAAACCATTCCTGCTGGACACATCGAACTGTGGGGCTGGAGGTTCGCCTCCGCGACACCTTCGGGTGTCGCATGGCCTGTAGAAGAAGAGAGAGAGAGAGATATATATATATATTTATTGCCAACAAAGCGGTGGAAGAACCAACAAGTGATGAAACGATCACGGACATCCCACGCACATTCCCGTCTAACTATATAGCACTACTTTAGGTTAAACCCTCAATGTGAGTGGGATAAGAGGGGTGGAACTAAGAAGCCCAACAGGGTCTGGGCAAGAGCCCCCCGGGTGGCCCACCATAGCCACTCCACAGCCCGCATGAAAGAAAAAAAGATATATATATATATGTATATGTATATGTATATGTATATATATATATATGTATATGGGTTAAGAGTGGCCACGTCAGCTTTTGTGGTGTGCATGCTGGCCCGCGACCCTGATCGCGTCAGTAAAACGAAAAGATGCGTCCGCATAAGCTATTTCTTGGGCCGTGTCAATCTCGAATTGCAGATTTCAACAAATCCCCGTTTCTAGGTCACCGTAGCGAAAATCATGCCATCTGCGTCCTCTGTCAAATTTGCCAGGAATGGCTCAGCGCTGCAGTGGAGCGTATTGGGAGGCAAGGAAAATGAGTGTATGACGGCGTGAGACAATCATGAGATGCATGAACAAGCTTCATCTTTGTAGATACAGGTGAACCAGTTTTTGTACAAGATGTTGTGGGGCGGAATCAGTTTCCTGACAGCAATGCGACCTGTGGCAGGAGCTTCGAGGAGACACGTTCGAAGACTTTCAAGTTTGCATGTGGCTGCGGGTCCTTTCTGTGAGCCAGCATGTTTGGCGCTAAACGGACCAGCTGAGCAACTGCTGGCAATGGGGCATGCTAAACCTTGGTTACCTGGTCACAGTACGGGGAAGGAGAAGCTCACGACCCTCTTGGATCAGAAACTGATGGCCCTTCCGGCAGCTGCCCCTGTTTGTTGCCATTGTTGGGCTCGCTCGTCCTCAGCTGGATCTTCGGCTGCTGTGCTACCGCTTGCCTCTGCAAAGGCAGCGGCCGCTGCGAAGTAGCTTGGCCTACATAGGCACGTGCCGTGCAAATCTTCATGAACAGCTGGTACTCTTGTCCGTCCTGGCAGGCAGAGACCTGGCTTCCAAGAGGAAGCTGACCTGTTAATGAACTGCAGCGAACCAGGGAAGTGATGCACTGGAATGTGCAGCACCTGAGAAGAATAGAAACTCCTTTGCGCTCCATGGGCGCAAGGGAGGTTTCTATTCTCCCTCTTCCCTCTCTCGCACCCCAACACACGGAACATTTCTGTTGTTTCACTTTTTTGGCTGACTAAGTGGGGGTCTTCAACTTCTTCAATTGTGCAAGGATCTTTTTCAAGAGACACTGCTTTCGAGCTATGTCAGTCATCATCAGATATGCAGGTCGCAAGAGGTTGCACCCTGGTGTGCCGTCTGTGACAAGAAGACTTGCTTCTTGGCAATGGCAGTTACCGGAGCTTGAAGAAAGAGACAGAGCAACATCTTGTGAAGTGCATAGTCGTCAATTAGCTCGATGTCCATCCTCCCAGGAAGTGAAGCTAAAGGCTTTTTGGATCTCAGCTCAAAACTGCGTGGCGTCGTGAAAAGCCTGTTTCGCACACCTGCTGCATGAGTCTCACGTAATCTCATGTGCTTTTAAACGATTCTCCCCCAGTTCTACCAAAGGCATTTACACGATTTCCGGGGCTCTCAAGGATTCTCCAACAAAAAATTGAAAAATGGTATGACCTGCGGTTTGAGGTGCGCATGCTGCGTATGGGTTTGATGAGGTCACTGGTTTTCCGTGGGGTGCATGGAGCCATGTCAGAAGCCATAACAAAATGGCGGCACCAAACCTCCTGGAGCAAATCTTCACGGCTGTGCAGAAGGTGCGCTTCCGCCATTTCAAACACTACTCCAAATGGTAATTTCCCAAAAAAAGGGGACCCCAATATATACCCCAAAATAGTATAGTCCTTATTATAGGGACCCACAAAAAGGGTACCCCTAATTTTGGGAAACCTACAAATTGAAAGAAAGAAAGTCCTTGGGCCATCCATTGCCTCGACCATTAAATATGTTGTTATAGGTTTGAGAAAAGCCATATGGCATCAGATTGAATTTGCAACCCCGGTCTGCAAAGCCAGCATATCACACAAGGACATGTTCTGGATTCTGGGCATGGGCCCGTGGCAGGCTCCTGAAGCGACGGCAATACTTTGGCACGATCCGGCCCAGCCCGAGGGAAAGGCTGTGAGCTTAGCTGATACTCAAAGTTGCTGCACATGAGGTAGTGAGGTAGCGTATGGTTTTTATATGATGGCCGGCAAGTGTAAATTCCCAAGAATCTTGTGAGAGTATGCAATTCGGTCCCCTGGGTTTGGGGAGACCACAAATACGAGTTGCACATGCCATGATTCTAATTGACGGTAGCCGCAGGCAACTCGCTCCCGAAGCTACGGCGAGCTCTGGGCCCTTGCCTCGGAGGCCGCCTCCAAGCTCAGAGCGCTTGGACTTCCCGAGACTGCGCCGGAGACGCCGGAGCTACCCGCTCGCGCTGGCCTCATGCTTGCAGGCTTGGAAACACGGGGCACGCGTATGCGCACGTGCCACATTGGCGTTTGAATGTTTCCTTCCGAGCAAGGCGGGCCTTCCTTGCCGGTTCTCGAGTTGGCAGTGCTGCTTGCGGGGCTTGCATTGGTGCCACTGGATGTCGACGAGCCGCTGCCGCGACTGCAGCTGATCGCAGAGGTCTGCAAATGTCGCGTAGTCTAAGTCATGCTCAAGTGATGGGCGGCGCAGTCACAGGAATTGGTGCAATCTTTGCAGACCTCAGGATTCCGGACCATTGCTCGCCTTGGTTGTAGCAGAACCTCAACTGGACAAAGCGCAGATGTTGCTGCAGATGCTGCAGAATGATTCTGGGTATCCGAGTGGCACACGCGGAGGCTGGAGCATGCACTCAGGTAGCTGAACCGCTTCATTCTCCACTCTGCCACAGCAGGCACACGGCTTCTTCAAGATTCAGAGCTCCTGCCAAAAGAGGCAAGCCATTGTGCCCAGCCCCCTTGAGTCTGTTCAAGTATGCAAATTGCACAGGGACCTGTGACATGCAAGCTTCAACAACCACATCACTTCGTTCCGGAGCAGATCTCCCACATCTTCTTCACATCCGGAAGCACTGGACGTCCAAAAGGATGCATGTGCAGCTATCAGAATTTGGTCTCCTATTGTTTGGCCAAGAACACCATCCACCAGGCTCGACAGTCAATGAGATTTCCACGTTCTTACTATTTTCTGAGGACGGTATGATGCTCTGTGCAGGTAGATACCTCCAGCGTTGTCTTTGTTGCCAGCGCGCACACCTTTGACCCGCTGCTTGACTGACATTCATGACTGATTTGAGCTTATGAATGCCATGATCTGGTTTTTGAGAGCCAGGGTTTGGCGCCAGCCCTCAGACTCTAAGGTCCCTGGGTGACTTCTTTGCCACCTGGGTTGCTGGTGCGACAGTGGCCTTGGCACCGCGCGCAGTGCTGCAGGCTTCGCTGAAGCGCTGCTTGATCAACGCCCAGGAGCGATTGTAGAGGGCTTGCGCGAGCTAAGCTCTGCTGGATTCATATGATTCATCAGTCTGAGGTTTCACAGCTTTCGTGTGTCAGGCTGAACTGCCCGAACAATTCTGCATTCAAGCCAGCACTGGCCAGGCCAGCCACGTGCAAACGACTCCTGCGCACTTCGCCACTGTAGAGGCCTGTTGGTTGTCCATACATTTCCATTGGAAAAGTGCCAAGAAGATCAAGATGGCAGGCTGGAGCACCTCCGCAGCTGCGAGTCGTCGCTTTGGGAGGAGTCAGGGGTGATGCTGTAAGCCTTGCAGAAATTTGTCTTTTGTTTGATCCGTTTCCCTGCAGGCGAGCTGATGCCACAGTCACTGACCGCTTGGGCTGACCAAGTCCGTCAATCGGTTGCAGTATCATCTTTGCATGCCGGGACATCTTGCAATTCGTTGTCCTTTTTGCCTGGTGGCTATCTTCAATACAGCGCCCCTTTTTCAATGCTTTCGCGTCAATGCTCACATTTTGCAATCTGGCTGTGGCAGATGGCCCAGCTTCATGGAACTGCTACAGGCTTGCTAAACACCTATGGCGTCACGGAATGCACCGTGTATCAGGCCGCGTCGTCTTGTGCAGAGCAATGGCTTGCTGTTGCTTGCTGTGGCCCGCTTGGACCGTGGATGGCTGTGGCTTTGAGGCAGCAGCAGAGCTCTCGCCTCAAAGCAGTCCACGTTCGCTGGGTTGGGCCCTGCCTGGCACGAAGCTTTGCCTCGCTGCTGGGAGAGGCTATGTTCCCCTCTCTTGCAATGGACTTTCTTGAGCCAGCTTGCTCGAGCCAGTGTGCAGGTGACGATCCGACTTCGTGTGTGGAGGCAGAATGCCTAGTCATAGTTCAAGATGGCCAGAGAAGCTCATCCCCCCCGCCTCCATGCGGCACATCTTGACCACACGCCATGTCAGGATGCCAGCGGCGCCCATGGCGAACTGTGGATCGCAGGAGCACAAGTGGGTCTTGGCTACATGAGGCGGGAGATTGTGGGCTGTCATTGTGGCTGCTGGCTCAGTGAGATTTTCTTGCAGCCTTTGTGCAGCCTTCGTCCGTCCTGGGCACGGCGTGTGCACCTGCAGGCGCCCAGAGCTGACTTCCGAGCGGTTTAGAGATCTTCCGGGCCTGGGGCGCTGCTTCCGCAGTGCCAGGGCTCAGAAGCAAAAGAAGCAACATCCTGTACTCGCAGACCGGTGGCATCTGCAAGTCGTGCCAGCTTCAGCAGATAAGGCGGTGACCTGGCTGCTGCCAGAGGCATTGCCTGATCTTGCGATTTATTTGTTCCTCCCCCTTTGCCGCATGCAGCATTCGCCGCAGCTACAAGATGTATATCTACTCATCGATCTTATCGTTGGATGCTATCTTGTGCAGACGGGGGCTGGCAGCTGCTGGGCCGCCGCGATGGGATGGTGAACCTCAGCCGCTAAAGGCTAAGGGTTTCCCCAACAAGGCGCCCCCAGTCCTCCTTGAAGCAATGGGCTCGCTGAGGAAGCTGCGTGGCCGTCGGGTGGAGCTTGGGGAGATTGAGGAGGTCCTGCTGGCTTCAGCGAGACTTGATGAACAACAATAGAAGCGGATTGTGGATAACATGCGCTGTGAGGAATTATGAGACATGCTTCTGGTTGCTCCAAAGGCCGGAGGTAATTTCGGCGGCGGCTGCTGTCGTCATTCCACCCGGTCAACTTGTTCTCTACTGTGTGCTGCACGGACTGCATTGCTGATCGTGGCTAGAAGAGGGAGACGTCAGAGTCCTTACGGGCTTGGCCACCAGGACAGCAGCCGGATGATTGCAAAGAAGTTTCCTGTGCATTGCTTCGACGCTTGGGGGAAGACCGTTTGCCGAGCCACATGGCGCCCAGCTTGGTCGTAGCTCTGGATTCGCTGCCGATGACTGCCACCGGAAAGGCGCGTCAATTAGGAACGCCATGCATACATTTTGCAAGAGACATGTCATCATGTCGTTTGGCAACAGGTCTCTCGCCGAGAATTGGCCCAGCGGCCGCTGCCAGAGACAGCCCTGGAGACAAGCCACGATGGACCCGCTGGCCTGCCGGAGCCAGCCATCCGTGTCGCTGCGGCGTGGAGTGAGGCCCAAGAGTCCCACGATCCCCGACCTGCGCCTCCTTGCAATGCCGCTGTGCCCGTGCTGTGGTCAGGTTCTCGGGGTTCCAGTGCGAAGTGCCCGAGCTCACTTCCTGGCTCTGGGTGGGGACTCCCTGGCCGCGCTCCGAGTCTGCCAACGGCTGGCAAGCAGGCCTTTGCATTGCTTTCACAACGTTTCAATGCATCCCCACAAAACAAGGGCTCTCTTGAATAGCTCAGACCAGGAGCTCTGCAGCACAGACTAGCATGACTGGCGTCTTTGGTGAGCTTCTGCCAGAGCCGCTGTTGCGTGGACGGTTTCAGATCTCACAGCTTACGAAAAGAGACATGGGCTGTGCTGCTGAAGTAAGATGAAGTAAGGCTCCCGGCACACCTCCTCAGCAGACCTTACTTGGGAGACTACCTGCAGCACTTGCAGCGGTCTTCTGTGGGCCTCGAGTTCAGTGCGGCAAACGACTCCGAGACATCGCAGGCTGCCCACGCTGATCAGATCCCTGACGCAGGCCAGGCCACTTACCACGAACTCCTTCAGCAAGCTGCTGGTGTGGGAGCGATTCGCGTTGTTCGCAACCTCCTGAAACACAAGGACATCATTCAGTCAGCCACGTGTGCGCGCACGCCGTTGCATGCCGCATGCATCAATGGCCGCACTGAAATCGTCCAACTGCTGCTGGAAGCCCGGGCCTCCGTGGGCGTTGCTGATGGAAACGGTGTCCAGCCTCTCCATGTGGCAGCGCAGGGAGGATCGGAGCCAGTGCTTTCCTTGCTTCTTGGAGCGCGCGCAAAGATGGATGCCATCAGCATGGAGAAGCAAACCGCTCTTCATTGGGCAGCCCGATCTGGAGCACCTGGAGCTGTCCTGAATCTTCTTCTGGCTGAAACGGGCGGTGTGGCCAGAAAAGCTCGAGGCAGCAAAGCCCCCGCAGCAGTGAAGGTTGATGCCAGGAGCTCAGAAACAGCCGTTGTTGACTCGAGACAGGAAGTGCGCGATCTATCAGTGGTGTAGTGAGGAGCAGCCGGAGGAGTAGGGGTAGTAAGGAGCAGGAGCACCATCAGGAACAGGTGTAATGGTTGTAGCAGAAGAAAAAAGTCATAGTCTTCGCCGCATTAATCGTAGCGGCAGTAGCGGTATAGTAGTTGCGTTGGCAGCAGCAGCGGCAGCGGCAGCAGCAGCGACAGCAGTGGACAGTTGGCTGTTGCAGTTGTTGAAGCAGAAGATTACGTAGAAGCGGTAGCAGCAGCAGCAGTAGCAGCAGCAGTATGTAGCAGTAGATCATCTACTTTGATAAATGGTCAGGGGGGCCTAGGTCCCTATGACCAATATTCCTGGCCATTATCTGGAAGAGTATTTATGTCAGCTTTTTTTGGTGTATTGTTTTTTGTATTTGGCTTCATTCGGCTTCTCTGGCTTTCTGGCTTCTTGGCTTTTTGGCCGCTGGGCTTCAAGGCTTCTAGGCTTTTTCAGCTTGCTCGGCTTCTTGACTTGTAGGCTTTCTTGGCTTCTTTGAGGAATTGGAATGTGTCCCCCCCCCTCCCCCCCGCAAAATGTGAACCCCCCCGCCCAATTCCTGAATGCCCTACGTCCATAACCTTCGCACAGGTGGCGTCTTGCACCGAGGCATCATGCAGTGCTGCAGCCGTGGGTTGGGATGTAGCAGCTCGACCAAAACTCCCCAACAACACTAATCATGAGACTGCCCGGCAAGAGAATATTTCGAGTCCAAAAGTAGCAAGTCAAGACACGCCCTGCGATGCAGCCATGCTGTCTGGGGAGCAGCACCGACCGACAAATGCGAGGCAGTCGCGTTGTTGTAGTCATGCGTTGGGGTGAAGGAGGAGCGTGGCATGCAAGATGCCCCCTAGCATGAGGTATCAGCAGGTGCACAATGCTTTTCGAACACAATCACGTGCACAGCGGAGGCAACACATTTCTCACAAAATTTGTGGCGGTGCCAAGGCTCCAGGCCATCAATGCTATTAGGCAGCCATATAAATGTGATGGGTCTTCTGGTGGGGACCCAGAATGAAAATAGAATTCTGGGTTCCTACAAAGCCTGGGTAGCCATTCTTCTCTTTGCATCTGTTGCAGGCAATGCTGCCGAACCTTTCTGCATGTGCCCACTGAGCCTGTGCCATCGGATTTGGCCCGTCTTCTCCGTGCCACCTTTTCTGTCCAGACCAAGAAACCCGGGCGGGCAGGCCTGCCCGCCAAATTTGGGGGGGGTTGATTTCTAAGTTAAGAGGCTTATAGTGAAGCCCGCCGCAAAATTTTGGCACGCGGTGGCTGTTTTGTTAATTTCGTGTGTGGGTGGGTAGCTGGGCTTGCATTGCTTCGGGTTGCAGGCTCGCTTGCCGGTGGTGGGGGGCGGGCACACGAGCAGCAACGCTACCGCGTCACCTACAAGAGCCACTTGTTTGGGGTGAGCTAGCAAAGCTTGTCATATTTAGTGCTAACTGGCCCGGATTCGTTCTAGCTGAAATTTACACTTGTCCAAGTGACAGTACTCTGGTCAGTTGCCTGCAGTCGCGAAGCCGATCGGCGCCATCTCGTGACGGTGCCGACAGGCTTCTGCTTCTGAACAATGTGTTGCCGTGGACAGCAAGTTGTACTCCAACAGACGCGAAGGCATGTTTCTCTTGATGTGCTGGGCCGATGCGTGCACGGGAGTGCAAGCAGGAATCTCTTTATGCATGTCGCAAATCAGGCAGGCCGGATGATGACACCCTCTGGAACTTTGTCGCAAGCCAAGTCTAGATTTCGTCCCACGCAGCAAGACGCACGAAGGAAGGCCTTTCATGCCTTTAAACCGAGCCGCCAGGTTTCCGCTTCACTCAAGACACGCATGGTCAGGCTAAGCTTCAGCCACGAATGCGAAAGATTCAGTTGCCCAGGTCTTGAAAAGACCTTCGTCTAGAGCTTTTGAGTGCTTTATATTAGCTTGCTGTGCCTAAAATCGTTACGGACGGTATTATGCTCCCCCCGCCCCTGGTCACGGCGAGGCGTGGACAAAATGGGAAACGTTTCACCTTGCTGCTGGAAGGGCAGCAGCAAGCAGTTTTGACAATGGCAGTGGTGACGACCACATTATAAGCCAGTTCAAAGTCATGCCATGGAACATCGCAGGGTTATCCTTACTCAAAGAGATGGACATTGTCAAGTACATGTCTCGTTTTGACATGGATGTATGCTGCTTACAAGAAACCAGAAAGATCAAATCCGATGTGTACGCGTGCAAGGGCTATCAGTTTATTCTCTCAGGTTCTGCTGATGGCTCCACTGAGTGGTGTGGAGTCCACGGTGTGGAATTGGATTCGTAGTCTCTTCGCGATTCAGACGCCATCTTCAGGGTTTTCGCCAATTCAGTGGTCGTATTGCCAGTTTGAAGACCGAGTGCCAGGGTGGCGATCATCACCGTTCTTGCTCCGCATAACTTAAGGCCATTGGATGAGAAATGGAATTTCATGAGCAATTGAATGAAGTCATGTCACATACTTCCGCGAATGGTCCGAAACTTGTCTTCGGGGATTTCAACTCTCGGCTTGGTGAAGCACGCCCTGGCGAAGATAGCATCGTTGGTCCACGCAGTCTTGGCCGTCAAGCTAGTCACCAAGTGGAAATGCCAAACCGTGACTTCCTCTTAGAGTTCTGCGCAGTTCATGGGATGGGGATAGCAAACACCTTCTGCGATGTCCCTATCGATAAAAACGTTACCTATCACGAACCTGAGGTTCCACCTATGACCCCGATCACCTTCACCTCGCTTGCGATGCTGGACTTGCTACTTGTCCCTCAGGTTGATGTGAACAACATGTGCCATGCTTACCGCGACCGCCTGGAAACCCTTGCTTCCAGCCACTTTCCTGTTGTCGCCAAATTTCAAGTGGACCTTGCGCTTCGCAACCCGATCAGGAACAATGTTTCTCGCAAGGATTGGTCAGCGCTGCAAGATCCTGATGTTCAGCGGACGCTTTGCCAAAGTATATCATCGCTCATGCCTGATGGCAGGATTTCCAATGCCAGTACATTCTGGAAGAAAGCACGTTCCATTGTCACAACAGCTATCGAACAGCACATACCTGCCTTGCGTCGCCGCCGTGAATCTCGGGCAAATGGAGACTGGAACACGGAAAAACAGTTACGGAGCCACGTGAAAAAAGGCAGCTAAACAGGACCGCGCAAAATGGCTTGAAGACTTGGCCTCCTCAGGGGATTGGAAATCTATCAAGAAGCTGCGGCAAGGTCGTCGTGTTATGCAAGGTCGCCTCCGCAATGCTGATGGCACTCTTGTCCCTTCGCATCTTCGGGCGCAGACCCTAGCCAAGCACCTCGAGAATGTGACAGTGGAGGATTCGGCCAACAACGCTATTTCCTGGTGTCGAAGAGCCTCTAGGTGAACCTTTGCGTGTGAACAGGTGCCATTTCAATCGCGCAGTGCTCCGGAAAGTTATCCAAAAGATGGCCAATGGCAAGGCTACCAAAATTCATGATATTCCGATTGAGGTTTTCAAAGCTTTGGCCTTGGAGCCGGACCCATCCTTGCAATGGCTTTTGGATCTCTGCAGCCACTGTTGGCGAAACGGTGTCATTCCTGATGATTGGTCCATGGCTTCTGTCGCAATGCTCTTCAAAAAAGGCGATCCCGGCGACCCAAACAATTACCGATCTACGTGCCTCCAATCCATTGCCTACACAATGTTTGCGTCACTGCTAAACAGCGTCTCCTGAATGCGGGCGTCGAGGCCAGACTCTGGAAATCTCAATTCGGCTTCAGAAGAGGGCGTTGCGCTGAAGACGCCATTTTTGTGGCCATGCGTAAAATTGAACAAGCACGTGCGCAACGCAACGGTCAGACAAGGCTTTCGGCCCTTGACTGGAAAAAAGCTTTTGACAGCATGAATGTCGACAGCCTCCTTGATGCACTACGTCGTTTTGGTGTCCCAGATTTTTGCTTGCAAGTGATTTATGGCATGATGCGACAACGCTGTTTTCAGTCACTGATCCCTGACAAGAGTCGCCGATGATGGGAGGCTGTATGGAATGGAACTTCACTGGGACAAGTTTCAACTACTCGAACTGCGTTGTCGTGCATCCATATACAATCCTGCGGGTGAGTGGATTGTCCCCAAATCACGCATTGATTATCTTGGATCCCTACTGAGCTTTGACGGTCTTCCAGGGAACTTGCACGAAGAATTGGCATGGCCAAAGCCGGTTTCCTTCAATTGCAAAAGGGTCTGGAAACATTCAGCGCTGCGTTGGATCCAATAGGTTCGAATTTACAGAGCCCTCATTGAAACAAAGCTGATGTACGGCTTGAGCTGTTTCTGCCTTTCTGCTGCAGATCGCCGTCGTTTGGATGGCTTTCAGAACCGCTGTTTGCGAGGTATTCTTGGTATACTGCCGGCTCTCGTTTCGCGAATGTCTAAAGCAAATGTGTCAAAAAAAACTCTTGCCATGCTGCCAATCAAATTTGATGTCAATGGCAGCTACTGCTCTTTGGGAAAGCGCTGCGATCTCCACACGACCATCCTATGCACGTCTCATCTTTCATCCCTGGAAGCCTGGAGCCAGCCACAAGCAGATACGGTAGTAGGGTAGGACGACCTAGACGTGAATGGATTACAGATGTTAGGAACAAAACATTGCAATTCGTGAGCGGTCACCGTTTGTACAGAATCCCCATGTTTGGCATGACATGGTTTACCGTCTCTTTGTCCACGCGCCGCCTGACGTATGACTGACTGACTGACTGACACCCTTCCCCCTGCCCCCCACCCCTTAAACAAAAAATGTCAAAACAGCGCATTTTCGGCCAAAAGTCCCGAGGCTGTAAAAAGCTACGAAGCCCTGCAAATACCAGTGAATTCGTTTGCGGGGAACAACAGAGCTATAGCATAATCAAGGAGAAGCGGGCTTTCAGAAAACGTGCCAGCGGCCAA